ATGAACAAACAGAGCATCGACCTCACTATGTTCTCTACAGGGAAACGGGAGGGACAAACAGAACATCATCCTGCACATGAACAAACAGAGCATCGACCTCACTATGTTCTCTACAGGGAAACGGGAGGGACAAACAGAACATCATCCTGCACATGAACAAACAGAGCATCGACCTCACTATGTTCTCTACAGGGAAACGGGAGGGACAAACAGAACATCATCCTGCACATGAACAAACAGAGCATCGACCTCACTATGCTCTCTACAGGGAAACAGGAGGGACAAACAGAACAGCAAGAAGGTGGTTATGGATTTCTGTCTTATAATGTAATACTCAGTTGCTGTATGGGAGGCTCAGTTTTACCTTTTAGTGAGCAAACAAAAAAGTGTAGAGCATGCTGATTATTTTTAAATAATACATCAGCAGCCGATTCAATTAAATCACTGCAAAACATCACTGCCATGGTACAGATCGTGGAAGGCCTCTTAGTTTTCAGCCATTTATTTATGCCCTTGCTCATATTGCCATTTATTGAACCTCTTCTAAAAACCATTACCTGCATTCTGGTCCCTCCCCCACTCCCCAAATCCCCTGCTCAAGGGAAAGTGATTGCCATAGCAGCTGGACAAAAGCACATGAGAGGACAGAGGTCTCTGACCCCCACTTACACACAACTCCTCAGGAACTATGGACAGCAGATGGAAGAGAAAGAAAAGCTTACAAAATCTAAAGAATCACAATGTCCGGGAAGGACAACACTGTAGGTGCTGCCATTTTATCACCTGCATGCTGAGCGACAGAAAGCACGGCTCCACTCTCTGAGACATATGTGGTTACTCTACTAAAACACTGCAGGCACATCCCCTGCAAAGTGACACCAGCTCGCATGAACCACCTGTAGCTAGTCTAACCCTAACCCCAAAAGCAGGTCTCCAGGATTGTATGTGTGTTTCCCGTTTCTATGGATTTACTATCGTACACAGTAAATGGTAATTAATTTAAATTAGGATTCAGACAATTAGTAACAATTATTGGTAATACATGGTTTAGATTACCGTTGAATGGTAGTCATATCACAATCACACCACAAGAGGTCATGACACTTATTCATCAAGATTGATACCTATCAAAAGACAGTCAACAAATAAGCATATGAGTCATTTTATCTGTTTAAATTTCATAATAAATAAAGATACATCATGAAATAACAAAATAGTACCTGTGTCACACCCCCTTTGTGATTTGCTGAGCTACACAAGCAAATATATCAACTAAATATTCCATTCCACATAAACACAAATAAACAAACTCTCTGGAAGAATTCTGACAATTCTGATCCATAAAACATGTTTTTCATGCATCACATGTTTTACAATCCATCTTACACAGAGCTTACACTAGTGAGTCGGAACTCCTTCCACCTGACAGAACATCCAGCATCACATTTGGCTCCTGATTCAGCTGTGCACTTTCTTATGTGCTTTTATTACACTTAAATAAAGAAATGCAACTGTGACTGGCTCAGTGTTAACTTCATTTAAATCTTGGTAGCTCGTAGATGTGTTTAGGTCAAACAGGAACAAGATTGCTAAACCACTGTAGCTATATGCAGATACTACCCAATCTGATTTGGACAGAGCAGGGGCAAGCAGGATTCCTCTTTATTGCGACTCAATTTCAGAGACAGGAACGAGAAATTCAGCGGCCAAGGCTCTCAAAAATATGCCTTTTTACATTTAAAACACCCCCTTTTGGGAAACTTTTAGTGATCAAACCTTCAAACGAAAGTTTTTACAAAATGTTCACATTTAAACCATAATCTGACAAAACATTAATCCAGAAAACATATGCGAAATTTTATTCTCGTAAAAAGGAAAAGAAAAAAAGAAAAAAGAAAAGTCTATTAAAACAATGAAATATTTAATATTAGCAGGCGTTTGGCGCGCGCGTCTGGTGGACTTCTAAGGAGATCGAATGATCAGTGAGCTCATCTGTGGCAAAACATGTAACTTAAGCATTTTCAGCGCTAAGAAGCTCCATATGAAGTGCACTAAAAGAAGCGCTTATTTGCACAATGGATTTGCCCCAAACAAAGGGACCCCGGCTGACAGGGTGGGTGTGCCCACCGCAGGGACACCGGCGAGCTGTTTTAATCTAACCGCTTCTTCTAAGGGGTTTGGCATTTCAGAGGAAACGCGTAAATCATTAACTTAAAATTACACGAAACGAAACGAAACGAAATTAAGATAGATTAAATACAATGCCTCCCTTGGCATCAGCATCCTTCCCCGGACGCATCAGTGTGGTGAATCAGAACGGACGAACAAAAAAATCCGCATCAACGCCCCAGAAGCGGTTTCGAGCCGTAAAAAGAAAAACAGGCTTCCTTACACACATATTGTTTCACATGCTGTGTTTTCCTGTCAGTATTTAAACATCATACGAGGGTGGAGACACGTACTGATAAAGCTGAAATGAAGGGCTGACGATGGGCTTCTCCGCACAACAATCGGTTCGGACATAATAATCATCATTATCATTATTATTATACATGTATGCACTCTTCATATAATTTTCACACTTTTAAACGTCTGCTATCTTTGTTACCGGCCTGGTATTTTATGTGTATTCTGATATTTTATATTATTATAATTATCTTTTTTTTATTATATCTATTTTTTACTCAGTTACGTGTTGTGTGTGAAGTGTGTGACCATGCACCAGACCAAATATTTCGGATACGCAAATGCCCTTGGCAAAATAATAAAGTGATTCTGTTTCTGATGCTGTGCACCATCCTTCTATACATCAGCAATGCAGCGCGTCTCCTCGCCGGCACCTACCTCCGCCGCCGTAGCACTTCGACAGCAGCCACGCCAGGCTGGCGCAGATCTTGGCTCGCTTGAAATCGTACTGGTCCAGAGGTTTGATCTCCGGGACCGTGAACGTCTTCCTCATCGCACCTGAGTCCACCATAGCCGGAACGGGAACAAGGAGGGCAGAGGGAAATATGGGAGGCGTCAAGGAGTAGAGGAGGTGTAAAAAAGACACAGGAAATGTTTTAAATAGCTGTTTGCTTCCTATCGACACACGCTGGAGCCGGGCACATGGGCGTAGACAGTGGCCACCTTAAAAACACAAAACCATCTTCTTTGATGTTTTTCTATTCGAGGCATCCATGAGATAAGAACTGAAATTCCGAAGAAACAGCTGCACGGCGTTGGCTTGACATGCGCTCCTGGGTCCCGGAGCCGTATTTTCTATAACACGTTTCATTTCCACCGTCTTACAGCGGCCAGACTGCAGGTGTAACGCCGGGTACCGAGCCGGTCAGCACCTGCTTCAGGCGGAAGACGCGGAGTCAGCGGGGCGGAGTGAGAGGAACTCCAAGCCAGGCTCGATCCAGGACGGTTTTTCGCGGACTCCCTTAATCACTGAGCTTTCGTTGTGGTCCAGGGTGCATGAAGCCATTGCGAATGCGGCTTTTACAGATACAAAGAAAAATTTGTTTTACTTTTTCTTTGGTCAGTATTTTTGGTGTTTGTAGTGTGATCCAGTTTGGGGGCTAGGGTTGTATGTCCATTTCGTTGATTAGGATCAAAGGAAGTAACTAGGGCTGTGACTATCGATTATATCAATAATCACGTAATCTACCGATTAATCTGACGATGTATCCAGAATTCGTTAAAAATATTATATATAGGATATAATATACACTGCAACATGTGCATATTTAGTCAATTTAGCACTCCTTTTCACTTAAGTTGCGTGTTTTTGCACTGTGGAAGGAAACCGTAGGATCGGCCGAAAAGCCACTTGCACAGGGTGACCATGCAAACTCCACACACACAAACCGGCTGTGAACGGCGACAGCGCTACCCACTGCGCCGCTGTACCACCCGCCCTGACAGGTTTTCACGATATGCGACGTTAATATTGACATGGTAAGAATCGTCTACATAGCCTACTGCGTTCAAACCATCAGTTACAGTAGCCTAAAACATATTCACAACATACATATACGCAGTCATAAGAAACCAAACTTTTCAATTTAAAAAATTAACACCCTAAAGATTATACATCAGCTCTGGATGCATTCTCCAAGACAATCAAACATTCTTGTCCTTGCTGTCCCAGATAGCACACATATGTTGAAATGACATTGATTGCATATCAGACAAAAAGGTTGAAACAACGCTGATCTTCAATGTTTCACTTAATATCAACATTCAATCAAGGTTTTGCCACCATCAGTTTTTCAATATTGATAATCTGACCAAAAATCAATTCAGTTTCAACGGTGATTATTTGACACTGGTCATAATTCAACGCATTTAACTGTAATTCAATGTTGAGACAATAACATGATATACTATCTGGGGTTTGACTCACTCATAGATCTCGTGGCACATTTGTGAGAACTTAAACAAAAATAATTGAAGAGGAGAAAAGTGTACAAGAACTGTTCATGAAAAGAGATTCGTCCTCCTCTGTATATGTTATACATCGATAAGTACTGGGACACCTGGCCATTACACCCACAGGAACTTTTATGACACCCATTCTAAATCCATAGGCATCAACAGGGAGTTATTTCACCCTTGGCAGCTACAGTAGCTGCCACTCTTCTGGGAAGGTTTTCCACAAGATTTTGGAGTGTGTCTGTGGGGATTTTCCAAGAAGACCATTTGTGAAGTCAGACACTGATGTTGGGCGTGAAGACCTGGCTCACAATCTCCATTGTGGTTCATCCCAAAGGTCTTTGATGGGGTTGAGGTTAGGGCTCCGTGCAAGCCAGTCATGTTTTTCCACACCTGTTTCCACATGTATTTCCACACAACTCATCCAACCATATCTGTATGGACTTTGCTTTGTGCACTGGGGCACAGTCATGCTGGAACAGAAAAGGACCTTCCTCACAGTGTTCCAACAAAGTTGGAAGTATTGAATTGTCCAGAATTTCTTGGTATGCGGAAGCATCAAGTGTTCCCTTCACTAGAACTGTAGTTAATGCCAGAGGAAGTTTGGAATTCTGCAGTTATTGAGTCAACAGAGCATTGACGACGTTTACGCACTATGCGCCTCAGCACTTGGTGACCCGTTCTGTTACTATATGTAGTCTGTCACTTCATGGCTGAGTTTGTTGTTCCTGAAAACTTCCATTTTGCAATAATGCCGCCTACAGTTGAATATCTGTGGAATATGTAGCAGGGAAGAAATTTCACAAACTGACGTATTGCAAAGGAAGGCATCCGATGATGGTACCATGCTTGAATTCACTGAACTTTTCAGAACAACCCATTCTTTCACAAATGTTTGTAAACCTGACTGCATGACTACATGCTTGATTTTATACTCCTGTGGCAATGGGTCTGAATGAAAGACCTGAATTTACTGATTAAGAGGTGTGTCCCTATACTTTTGTTCATTAGTGTAGTTTCAATTTACCAAACTTCCATTCTCCAATTAGCAAGAAACCAGCCACAAGCAAAGATTTCACCTAGTGGATTCCTGGCAATTACAGAAATGAGTTCCGGGTGCTGGCTCTCTTGTTTACAAATTGTGGTATATAATTCAGCCAGTGAAGCCAGAGATGTAGCCTCAGGCAGGATGTAAACAACAGCGAGCAGCATTGAACAAAACACTCTCAGCAGCTGGAATTGCTGGCACTAGATCATTAGGAGCTCCAGCATTGGTGAGCAGGTCTTGGAAACTGCTTCCATGTTGGTGTTTAAATTAGTGTTTATAAAGAAGCATACACCACCTTCCTTTGTCTTGCTGGTGCTTTCTGTCATGCGGTCCAAGTGGTACACAGTGAAGCTCCAAGGCTGCATGGCACTGTCTGCAAGTTTGTGATAAAACAGAACTCATTACGCTCTTTGAGAGCTGATGTAGCAGTCTAATGTGTCCAGCTTGTTCTCCAGAGAGGGGACATCAGACAGGGGGATAGTGGTGCTGGGTGGCCAGGATGAATGGTGTCAGCCTGATTAGCAAAACACTTTGCTGCCCCCTCTTCCGAACATCTGACGATGGTCATTATTGTTTGGTTCAGTTGTAGCGTTTCAAACAATTTTTTTGTGAAAATCCGGAATGTGAAAGTTTTTCCAGAAGATTTGGTCTAATGATCAGCAGAGTGTGGTGGTGTTAGACAATATAACAGCAAGTTACAGTACATGTGGAAAATATCTAAAATCAACAAAAATACAAAGTAGAGAACGATAGCAATTCTTAGTGTATCATCATGGGAAAGCACCATCTTGGCCTCAATTCCGTCCTTCCACCATATGCCCGCACTTCTCTTTTCCTCCACTAGAGGACAGTGCTGGATCAGTGTTGTCAAGTCTCACAAGACAAACAAGCAACCTCATCCCGGAGAACAAGCCCAAAATGTGTCTACTGTGCAAAGTAATGCGGAGAAATCAAGCCCAAAAAATAAGTCCAATATATTCAACCAAATGGAATGCAGTTTGCCCTGTGTTTAGCATATGTGTCTGTAGATATAAGACATATACTACAATACTGAAATACTGGCAGCATGGTTCTTAAGTTTTAATTTATCATTTTCTTTTGTTAGTGTGACAGTAAACAATTCCTTATGGCTTGGCATAAATATGGTCCTTTGTATCATATTTTACACTAATTATTGGATACTGAAATCATAAATATTGCAACTCAGAAAATATTTGAGAGAGAGAAAGTGAGAGAGATGCAAAATTATGATATATATCTGCACAACAAAAACTCTTAATTAGCCTTTAACCTCTGGTTCAATATCAAATTCTGGCCAAAAATGAAATTTAAATGAAGTGATGTAAAACAATGTAAATTCTCAAATTAATTGAGCTAGCTGAAATGGTTGAAACTAGCCAAGAAGCAAATGTTAATGTAACTAATTAATAAATTAATGTCTCAGATAACAAAGTGACACTTGCTCGAATACGTTTCAGAGGTAGCAATACCTTTGGTCCGGATCTGCAAAAAGGATTTACACATCAATCCAAAACCAGATTGGATACGGATTACAGATCTACAGTGGATCTGAGCCTTAATCCACTTGGTGTCGTGCCCTGCTCCGTCCGATCCTAATGTGTGCCACGCCCCCTCGTTAACCTCATGTGGAATCCCAGTGTCTTACAGCTGTTTCGGATTGTTGTCATTAGTTTAGTGTATTTAGTCCGCGTTTCCGTTTGTATCCCCAGTCCGGTCATTGACGTTGTGATGTTGTGTTGTTTTGCGTGCTCTGTGTTTCCGTGTTTCCGTGTTTCCGTGCTACACACGCCGTAACACTTGGGTCCAAATAAAATCAATGTTATACATTCCAAATTCATAACAGATTAGAAATGGATTGTCTGGTCAAAATGTGATAGAGATACATATGTAGTGATCCATATTTTTCTTTATTAAACTATAAATATTAGTCTATACAGTCAACTCTTTATAAAAATGAGCTCAAATTAATGTATCAAAAGAACTACACATGCTGTAGGTGATTTGTTGGGGTTAAAGAAATGGGTTCATGCTTTAATTTTCAAACAGATATTTGGAACAAAATAAAGTTTTCCTTTATTAACGCAAATTTTTATTAAAAATGCAGATTCTAAAAATATTGGCACCCCAAATTTCAGTATTTTGTGGAGCCTCCCATGGCGAGAATGTCAGTACTCTACCTCTTTCTCCAGTGTTTAACAAGGTTGGAGAACACATCTTGGACCACTCTTCCATGCAGAACATTTTCAACTCATTCAGATTCTTGGGTTTTCTCTTGTGAACTGTTCTCTAAAATTGCGACCACAGATTTTCATTTGGGTTCAAGTCTGGAGACTGAGAGGGCCATTAGAAAACCTTGACTTTGTGTTGCTGCAACCATATCTTTGTCAGTTTTAATGTGTGCTTTGGGTCATTGTCTTTCTGGCCCAGTTTCAGCCTTCTGGCAGAGGCAATTCTTTGTATGCAGTTAATTTTTTTTCGCCAAGCGTGATGAAGACATGTTGCCAAAAAGCTCAGTTTTGATGTCATCTTATCACAACACAAAATTCCAGTTGTAACTCTATTGTTTCTAGGCACAGTTCAGACACTGGGAGTTGTGTCTTGGTCTCAGGAAGGGCTTCTTTCATACATAGAACTCTTCCTTTTCTGGTCATGTCAGTGTTGTCTCACTGTTGACCTTTAAACAGTGAAACCCCAAGATTCAATTAAACTGTGCTGTTGTGAAACTGTGATCTTTGGTCTCCACTTTGCCTCTCGCAGCATCCTCCCCACAGTGCATAGAGGCAGTATGTGGATGTGTCCCCTTCCTGGCAAACAGTTCCTTGCTTTTCAAACTTCTTTACTATGGCTCTGTTTGTGCTTACTGGTAATTTCGACTGAATACCTATTTCTTGTAGCCATTCCCCAATTTATGCGGCTCAACCACTTTTTTCCCCCTCATTTAAGTTGAGAGCTCTTTGGTATTACTCATGTTGATGGATGAGGATTTTGCCTGTGTGTTACCTCATATTTATTCCCCAGAGGAAATGGACATATATAACAATGTTCCTAAACACTAAAAGTAATACCAAGAAACATTTTT